AAACAAGCAAACCACAATATAGCACAGGCACTGCCTGCGAGTCAACGCTGGCTCATGGCAACCATGCAGGACAGGGTAGGACTGCCTTGTGAATTTCCGAGACGGTAACTCTTTACAGGAGTAGAAAGCCCCGTCTTTCTCCCGCGGAGCGACTGGTGGTTTGAACTGCTCCCCTTGCAGATAGCAGCCCACTGCATAACCACTCTGCCACGAGGGCTCGGGACAGAGGGACCGGAGTAGGCAAATCCACAGGAACAGGGAGTGCATGAGTGGTTGCTTAAGGCTTTGGGAGCGGCCCTGGTGGCTCGGCGGTCAACTTCTAGGCTGCTACCTGAAAGGCCAGCAGTTCAGTCCCAGCCACCCTGTAGGGTGGTCGTACTCTGTCATGTAAGGTGCGGTGGGGTTGCTGTATTGGAATAGAAGCCACGGCGATGGGATCCGGCTTGGGGGTGACAGGTAGGCTGAGAAGTGAGTGCTGAGGAGGATGCTCTTTGGGGAGAAGAAAGCATCACCCCACCTCGGTGGTGGTGGCACCCAGGACACAGCTCTGAGCAAGAGAGCGAGCACGTTCAAACGGACAGCGGGTGCTCTGATGGGTGCAAGGGGAGTCTCATCTTAATTAGAGCTGGTGGTTTGAATGGGGAAAAGCAAGGCAGGAGACAGGTTTATGCAGCACCTTCTAAGCTCCTGCCTGGTGTGGGGGTCCGTCCCAAGGGGCTGCTCTCGCTCTCCCCCCGGACCCCTACTCCCACAGGGAGCCAGGGGCAGCCTTGTTCTGGCTGGTGTGAGGCCCAGCGTGACATACCCAGCCAGATGCTGGCTACCGACGTGTGCAGGCTTCAACCTAACTCAAAGCACATGTGACCACAGCGCCCCAGCAGGCCAGGCTGAGGAGACCACATGATGTCACCCTCCGCCCCCACCAGGGAGCTTGTGAAGACAATTCCTATGGAGTTGGGCCGGGCGGCTCGGGTGGGAAAGCGCTGGAAGGAAAGTCCGAGGTGAGGGACGGTGGTCTGGAGGACGGGGGTCCTCAGACTGTGCGGGGTAACACCAGGCTGTCCCCAGCATGTCCTCAGATGTCGGTAGGACTGTGGGTCAGTCACGTTCAAAGGAGCCAGATAGCAACCAGCCAGAAGGGCCCTGCACCATGGTTCTCTGTGCCTCAGCCTCCCCAACCCCCGCCCCTGCTCAGCCCACTGGTCTCCTTCCCTCCTGAGTCGTGGAAAAGGAGCGCAGTGCACTCTGTGCCCTCCGCAAGGCCGGCTGTTTGAACTCACCAACAGCTCTGGCGGAGGCAGATGAGACTACCCTGGCCCATAAAGATGGCGGCGTCCCGGAGGCCCCAGGGGGCGGTTGGCCCGGTAGGTGTTGGAGTCAGCTCTGCGGCAGTGGGTTTGGTTTGTGTGCTGTTGTCCATAGAGATGCCAGGG